ACGTAGAATTTTGTTTCAGCTTTTATATATGCCATTACACTTGAAGGAATATGAGTAGTTGACTATTTCCTGATTACTTAAATTTCGCTTTTTAATTGTAGGGAACCTCTACAGTGTAGAAGTAGAAATATCTCTTCCCATTACACTTGTAAGTACTTTTTTTTGAAGGAAAGGACATATTATTTCATTAACAAATGAATTCAGTTTAGGCTATATCAGGATTAGATTCTGAATATAGCAGAAAATTCTAATACAATAGTAGTGACAGTGTCTCTCATTCCATTCTCATTGGAAGATGGTATAAGGAATTGCTTCATATTACTGAGAGATTACTGTAACATTCTCACAAAGGAAAAGGAAGATAATTTCAATATATTTGAATTGTAACACTCTGTTCTTACTTTTAGAAATATTCATGAAATAAAATAATAGTATATTACTCAAAAGAAAGAATAATTTTTGGAGGCTTAAGTGTTTATTACAACATACTTTATTTTAAAATATTTATTTATTTGAAAGACAGTGGCAGAGAGATACAGGTATCTTCCAACTTCTTGTTCACATGCTAAGTGGCTTCAATAACCCAGGCTTGGCCAGGCCAAAGGCAGGAGCCAGGAACTCCATCTGGGTCTCCCACATGGGTGGCAGGGGCCCAAGTACTTGGGCCATCATCTACTGCTTCCCAGCTGCATTAGCAGGAGATAGCTCAGAAGCAGAGCAGCCAGCACTGAAACCATCAGTCTGGAAGGGGATGTAGCTATCCCACATGGTGGCTTATTCCACTGAGCCACAATGCCTTCCCCTTATAACTTATTTTATATATTATTTAGATACATTAGATTTTAGTTAAGTCTGCTGTGGTCGGAAGCTACATCTATTAGACAACTATTATATTCTAGGTAAAGCTGTAATTTGCATATTTTGTGTTCTAGGATATATTATCTCTCAGCATTTTGAAAGGCATAACAAATCACCTGCCAGGAATGAATAGCCAATGTCAATCAATAGTTTCCATTTTCCTTTTACTTACTAAATTGATTACATTTGTCTGTTTTTGTTATAGTTGGATGTCTCTTATTCTAAATACTTGAGACCAGAAGTGTTTTAGGTTTGCGAGTTTTTCAGATTTTGGAATATTTGCATAGCCTTTACCAGGTGAGCATTCCTAATACAAAAATCAAAATCCAGAATGCTTTGAAATCTCAAGCATTTTAAGTATAGACATGATACTCATAAAGTATGACTTATTTTAGAGCATTCTGAATTTAAGATTTTTAGATCAGGAATTCTCAGCCTGTAATACGTTTAGATTGAACGTATATTTGAACTCTTAGTTGGAAACAACTAAGAGTATGCAATAAAGTATTTAAAAATACATGGAAGAAGAACTGACAATATGGAAACTATTTGGTTAAAATCCCCATGCATCAGTCCCTTTACCCAGCCCCCTACTCCTATTTTTTCCTCAGTCAATTGTTCTCTAAAATGTGCCTCATTTTGGATTTATCTCTTCACTTCCTTAGGAAGATTTAATTTGTTCTTCTATCCCCCATATGTCCTATAAATAGTTCCTAACAGCATTAACATAATTGCTTATTTGCATCATCCCACAATAGTTTCAAAATAATACCAGAATTGCTACAATTAGATTACAGACTACTAAATGGACTTTAAGATTTCTTAGCAGTTTTGTTTGCTATTAGAATTTATGTTCCTAATGGTGTGTAGTCATTTCTGTGTTCTGTCACACCTTGAAATGCATCTTGTATCTATATTTCTGTTATCATCAACTGGATGTAAGTTTAGGTTCATTTGTTTCAGTTGACTGTCAGTTTTTAGGGATAACTGAACTCAGATTATATAAAAAGGTATTTTCAGAGAAATGTTTCTCTGACTCTTACATCCTGTTTTCTTCTTTACCTTGGTGATGATTGTTGTTCATGAAATCTTAACATTACATAAAACATTTGGCTGTATCTTAATATTTCTTTTTTATAGGTATACAAAAATGTCTGTTTATTATATTGCCACTTCTGATATGAAAGATTGCACTATATAGAGTTATATAAATGTATATTTGTATGTATATATACATATATATGGTTATATGTCTTGTTCTTTTTTCTTAATAATACATCCTTTAAGATGACTCTGTATCAGTACATAGGGATCTGTCTCATCTATATCATGATGCCTAGGACTCCATTTGGGACTGTGTCAGGTGTGATGTGTATCTGGATTGTTTCTAGACTTTTGCTATTTAACATGGTGAATACCACTGTCCCTAAATAACCTCAGGAAGTATTTGGAAAAGATCCCTGGGAGTAGAATTGCTGGATAAAAGGGTAAACACATTTAGAATTTTTCTAAGTATTACTAAGTTCCTCGCTGTAGAACATACCATTTTACAGTCCCACTAGCAGTGTATTGGAGACTCTTGTTGTGCATAGCCTTAATATAAACTTGGTTTGAAAAGTTTGAATTTATATCATCTGATAGGTAACCAGGATCCCAGTATAATTTTGAAAGCATTTCTCTAATCACAAAGTTGATTGTGTATCTTTAAATAGGTTTATGAGGTTCTTGTAAGTATTTTATTCAATGATTGTCTCAAATATTCTTCAGTTTTATGTTATGGGTCTTTTGCCTGCTCTGCATTTAAGAGCTTTTAAAATGTTATTGATATCAGCACTTTGTCTTGACTTAAAGTTGCAATTTTTTTCCAGCTTGCCTTGTGTATTTTGACTTTGTTATGATGCTCTGTTTTTTATTTACATTGAAAAGTTTGATGTAATTGAATTTCCCTTTTTTAATTGATTCTAGATTTTGAGTTTTCCTAGGAAAATTGTTTCCTACTTCCAGATTACAAAGGAATATGTCCTGTTATACATATAAGGTCATGAATTATATTTAGATTTCTGGTGTTTGTTCTTTTAAAAAATGTTTATTTGAGAGGCTGAGAGAAAGTAAGAGACAGAGTCACAGAGAATTTGCATCCACTGATTCACTCAGCCATATGCCCACAGTGGCCCTGGGAATTCAATGCAGGTCTCCTACATGGGTGTGGGGACCCAGCTACTAGAGCCGTCACTGCTGCCTGCCAGAAGGTGTATATTAACAGGAAGCTGGAATTGAGAGTAGAGCCAGGACTATAACTCAGGTATTCCAAAATAGGATCCTGGCATCCAGGCTGACAGTTTAACTCCTATGCCAAATGCCCACCCATATTCCTTGTTTATTCTAATGCAGTGTGGAATGTATGTCCAGTTTTATCTTTTTCCAGATAGACAGCACTTGTACCCACTGATCTAATATTTTGAGTCTGTTCTTGAACTTTAGTCTATTGATCTGTTTATTTAATCATATACCAGTGCCATAGTGTTGTTTTTTTGTTTTTGTTTTTGTTTTTGTTTTGTAAAGTAGGAGCGGGGCCCCCTGTGAGCAACGCTTTGGTTTCTTTTTTATTTATTTATTTTTTATTTATTTGACAGGTAGAGTTACAGACAGTGAGAGAGAGAGACAGAGAGAAAGGTCTTCCTTCCATTGGTTCACTCCCCAAATAGCTGCCACAGCTGGCACTACGCCGATCCGAAGCCAGGAGCCAGGTGCTTCCTCCTGGTCTCCCACGTGAGTGCAGGGGCCCAAGCACTTGGGCCATCCTCCATTGCCTTCCCGGGCCACAGCAGAGAGCTGGACTGGAAGAGGAGCAACCGGGACTAGAACTGGCGCCCATATGGGATGCCGGCACTGTAGGCAGAGGATTAACCAAGTGAACCACGGCACCAGCCCCATAGTGTTTAGTAATAGATGCCCAAGGTTTTCATTATTTTTTTTAATCAGAATTAGGTTAATTACAACAGTTACTGATCCTTCTAACTCACTACATCTCCTACCACCTATACCAGACAGAATACTTGTGTAATATGTGTGTGTCTAGGTTTCAGCATATAAAGTAGGTGCTCTTTGATCCTGTGTTATTGAAAAGAGTGTTGGGCCAGGAGTCCAGAAGCACAGAGTTTTTAGTACCACTTTGAAGCAAGTCACTTGCTTTCTTTGGACCCGTTTTCTCAGTGGTTAACAAGCAAAAGGAGTTGAACTTTTGATGATCTTTAGGTTTGTTTCTGAATCAGGTTAACGCTAACCTAGTAGGAGCACCCTGGTATGTGGTGTGAAGTTCAACTTACTTTTCATTCCCCAGTGTCTTGTCCTTTTGCCGTGTTCCTGAAATAAAATTTCTGTTCTGCATTCTGATTCTTTACTCTTTTCTCTCTATATTTTTTTCATTGCAGCATTTTTCTCTCCTACATTTCTTTTATTGGCTGCCACTGTTTGGCTACTCAAACACTTCCCACTGACCTCAGTTGGAAAAAAAAAAAAAAACACATGCAGTAAATGTGAATTATTTGTCTCCCTGGCAGAAAATTTCTTTTAAAAAACCAAAATCACAACAACAAATAAACAACAAAAACTCAGCTGCTTCCAGTAGTGCGTTCTTCTGATGTACAAAGCACAGAAAAAGAGAAGCTGCCTGTAGTGTTTGAGAAACGCAGACGCGACTGTGGCCAGGCCATCAACTCCTGTTTCATCTACACAAAGTTGGTATTTCCCTGTTTCCCAATGCCCGTCCTTTGAGAGGCCAGGAAAGAAGGTGGTGAAAAAGGAGTAAAAATGTGGGCAAAGTCTGTTAGGTAACTGTCTTACATGTAAAAGAAGGAGGGATTATGATGAGTTAAAGCATGTCAAACTTGACCAAATATAAACATTGTGTCTTATTTACTCTAACTAAAGTACTTAAAATTCAAAAGAATAATGGGGTTTTCAAACTTCTGAATGCTGCTAGGTAAATTAGCTGTGAAAGTACTAAATTAGAGAAGGACATGGAAGAAACTTTTTAATTTGGAACACAGAAGAGAACCAATATAATATGACCGTAAACATCATACTTAGGACAAGTAAAAAGTTCAAGGAAGAGTTTCTTCAATAAAGTCTTTTTTAAAAAATATTTTTAAGGTTTATTTATTTATTTGAAAGGTAGAGTTACAGAGAAGGAGGGAAGACAGTTATCATCCATCCACTGTTTCACTCCCCAGATGGCGGCACCTACTGAGGCTCCCACACGTGTTACAGGGGTCCACGCACTTGGGCCATCCTCTGCTGCTTTCCCAGGAGTATTAGCAGACAGCTGGAATGTAAGTGGAGTAGCCAGGACTTGAGCCAGCACTCATGGGATGCGGGCATTGTAGGCTGTTGTTTAACGTGCTGTGCCACAGTGCTGGCCCCTGCAAATAAAGTCTTAACGGTCAGTAAGGGATGGCTTAAAAGGTTTAAGGAGTCCTAAAGCCTGCTCATTTTTATTAAAAATGGTGCTTAGTCTCTTTGATACAAATGCTACAAGTGAATACTATGTTCTGAAAATCCCAGAACCACTGGAAGTGATCAAAGACCAAGCTACCAATGAGAATGCCACACATTTCTCTATAACAGACACTGTGCCCCTGCACTGAAAGTGAGGGTGATGAGGAAGAATACGTGCTTACTGGGCAGAGGAGCACGTCTGTACATCTGGTGGCATCCCCACAAGCAGAAATAGGCCAGTGACCACTGGCATCCTTCTCTTTGACGAAGGGTAGGCCTGCCTCTGATAATTTAGGTGTGTCAATTGTTGGCTAATAGATTAAACTTTGAAATTCCAAGTGAGAAAGGTGGTTTGAGGACGGCGCCGTGGCTCAATAGGCTAATCCTCCGCCTGCGGCGCCTGCACACCAGGTTCTAGTCCCGGTCGGGGCGCTGGATTCTGTCCCGGTTGTCCCTCTTCCAGGCCAGCTCTCTGCTGTGGCCAGGGAGTGCAGTGGAGGATGGCCCAAGTGCTTGGGTCCTGCACCCCATGGGAGACCAGGAGAAGCACCTGGCTCCTGCCTTCGGATAGGCGCGGTGTGCCAGCCACAGCACGCCGGCCGCGGCGGCCATTGGAGGGTGAACCAACGGCAAAAGGAAGACCTTTCTCTCTGTCTCTCTCTCTCTCTCACTGTCCACTCTGCCTGTCAAAAAAAAAAAAAAAGTGGTCTGAGAGTTTTAGGGACGGGAAGTATGAGCTTAGTGAAAAGTTGAGAATTGTCCATATTTTGAAATAGTATGTTTCTCCTGGGAAATAATCATCCACATCTGGAATGAAGCACTAGTTTCTTTCTTCTCTCTCATTTATAAGACCTTTTTATTTCAATGCTTAAGAATACTTTTCAAAGAGGCTAGTTTTAAAATTAGTGCTTCCCCAACATAATAAGGAACTGTTTACATTTTAGGGAGTGTGCTCATTTTATTTTCAAGGTAAATGGCCTCAACTTAACCCCTTAGTTTGCTTTTCTGTTTCCAATGAAAACAGAAAGAATATTGCTGTATTCTCAAACATGCAAATATGCCACCCCCACAAACTTGGATTATTTATTTAATACTTGAGGTGTTGATTTAAAATTTGGAGTATTTATTTAATTTCTTAATCCTCGCCATCCCAAACTTTGAAGTAGAAAAATAAAAATTTATTTATTCAAGGTAATTTTCTACACAGCTTTTCAGAAAAAAAGTCTATTGAGTAATTTTATGTAGAATCTTACTTCAAAATGGTTATTATTGGCGTATACCACTCACATCTGTAAAATGTACTGTCCTTTAGAGATACCATTTACTGTAACTAGTAAATAGGTCATTGTTAAATAACTCTTTGAAAAAAATGTTCCACCTGTGTACATGAGGCTTCCAGGTAGTTCCTGAACAAAAATCAAAATTTTCTGCTAGTTGCTATTTTATACAATTCATCACATAAAAGAAAAATAAAAGATGGAGTCATTTAAGAAGGGTGGACAATCAACTAAAAAGCACATTTTGTATTTATAACAGTTCCGCAGGTGGCAGTGGCAGGGATTCGTTAAGATCTTGAGCATAGTCAAGAGGAATCGAGAACTCTTGACATTGGACCTCACTGTTGCAATCTCCTTGACTTTTCACAAAATCTGCCGGTGGCAAGGGTAAGTTAGGTGAGTCTGGGGAAAGTGAAGATGTTTGATCTTCACAGGCTTGATTGAGACAGTCCAGAGATGGTAGGAGATTAGTAGAATCATTTGGAAGAGGAGAAGGAATTGTCATTGTGGGTGTGACAGAGTGGACATTCTCCTGTCCTTCCAAATCTTGAAGCGGAGGTGGCGGAGGCAGATCTGCATCATCTGACAAAGAAACGGCAGTGCCAATTGTTGACCCATCAGCGCTGTCCTCTGATGCACCATTTACTTGGTCTTTTGTTTTCTCTGTTTTGAGGCTGTTGGAATCCTCAATATTTTCATTTGATTCAAACAATTTAATTTCTAAATTGTCTGCTGAAAGTGTGCTCTTGCTTGGTTTCCAGGCTATAAGTGAGGCAATTGATGTACGTTTTGTGGGTACTTCGTTTTCTCTAATGTTATCCATACATAAGTCAGGTGTTTCCCCATCAGCAAATGGAGACCTACCTGCCCAGTTTTGATCATTTAAAACTGGCTTTCTCAAGCATTTCCATAGTACAATCATGATTATCACTATCATCATAAAAGTCAGAATTATACCAATTAATATGGCAGCTGTTGAATTAGAATTGGTCTTATGTGAGGTTTTTTTATTAGTGGTAGCATCGAAGGTGAATCCTGGTGTGATCCTCTGTGAATTTTTAACAGTTGATATTAGTCGTGTGGCTAGATCATGAGCAGTTGGTGGGACTGGTTTTGTGGACGAGATGTGGACAGGTGGTGATGCTTGCTGAGTGGAAGCAGAGGTAGATTGTATTGGTGATTGTCTAGCAGAAGTGAACTCTGATAGTGCTGTCTGTCCCGGGGAGGTATTGGCCACTGGTGGTATAGATTGTGTGATGGTGTTATAGGGAAGTGGTGGTCTGGTGGAACTTTGTACAGCAGGTTTTCCAGAAGAGGCAAGGGCAACTGGTATTGGTTCTCCAGCAGTGACTTTGGCCAGGGATCTTGGTTGCCCAGAAGAAAGGTTGTTGAATTGTGTTGGTAGAGTCAAAGGATTCCTTGATGTGTTTTGAGAATTGGCCAAGACATTGGGCATTGATGAGCTAAATATAGTAGGCTGTACCGGTTTCTCTGTTGTACTCGCCTCTATCCCTGAGGAAAATATATTATTGCTCAGGAGTCCACAAAACAAAATTGAGATGAAATATTTGGGATCCATTTCAGAATGTTTCCTCCTTACCAGTGCCTTTATACTGAAAGAAATAAGAAAAAAACCATTGAGGAATCATTTGGTGTCTGGTCATACTTGACTTTTCATTACAGTGCCTATCATAAGTAGGTTGGTACTTAACTAGTACCAATTATTCCTCATTTAGAGTTGACATACTGTAGGCTGGTATAAACTGCTCTTGAATATATTCCAGCTCACCGTAGAGCACTCTGACATCCTGGGCAATGATCTCTTAATTTTAGGCTCTGTGTGCTGGACCCATGTGCTCTCTCTGTTTCTTTCACTCTAGAATTACACAGATTCTGCTGCCTTGGCGAACACTAATGACCATCTGTTACTTAATCCAATGGTCTTTTCTCTCTCCTCTCTCTTTCCACCCCTGCTGCCCCAACCCACATTTGACACTGTTGACTGTTCTTGTACTAGTACTCCAGTAGCTTATTATAATAGTTTTCCTGTCATGTTACTTTCACTAGCATCTCTTTTTCTCCTGTCTTCTAAGTATGGATGCTCACTCCTCATCCTTATCTACTTTTCTTTATTCCTGATTCTGTAAGATTTTAGTTCTCACTTTTACACCATAATTCCCCAACCTGTATACCCACCTAAATCTCCTTTGTTCTGATTCTGTTTGTAGCGATTTCTTAGTAGACATTTCCTTGTATATACCCCATTATCAGCAGATTGAATATGTTTAAAACAGAATCATCTTTACCTCATAAAGGACTTCTCTCCCGGCTTCTCTGTGCTTGTTAGTGGTACCACCACCGAGAGTCTGCTGTAGTATTAATCTGCAGAATCTTCAGTGTCTGACACCGCTTCCTAGAGGCAGCATCTCATATTTCTAAAGCACTCCAGTCATCTCAGGGTCCTAGGCTCGGAATCCTGGGCTGCTCTCTTAATCCCATCAAGTCAATCCTATCCAGTTCATCAAGGAGTCCTGAGGTAGCTTTCTTTCATGTATTGTTTAATACCATATTTTGGGTGAACCATGTTCTGGGTTTAGAGAGTTATATATTTTTATATGTATGTATATATTGCCTTCAGGTGTTCCAGATTCCCATGACAGAAACATAGAGGTAGAAAATAGTTAACAATACTGTGATCAGGTTTTTTCCATAAAGATCTCAGGAGATGCACAGAAGAAGTAACTTAGTCTGGGAAGGCTTCAGGGAAGGTTTCTCTGAGAAGTAAAGCTTGAACTGAATCTTAAAAGGTCTATAAGAACAATTAAGCAAATAAATATTCCAGTGATGAGAAACAACATATGAGTAGGAAAATAAAGCACATGAGTGAGTTTGGAGGTCTGAATGTGATAGATGCTAAAACTTGAAGAGTTCCGGGCAAGTTCTACTTCTGCAACCATCTAACTGTCTCCCCTGTCCTCATTTGCCTTGCCTCTAAGTGAGGAGTTATACTAAATATACTTGTTTGGTACACCAGCACACACACGAGGATAATTTTCTTAACATTAGGGAAAGGAAAATCTCAGAGTATTAGATGTTAGTTTTATGATTAGTAACTATAGTTTTTCTATGATTAATAGGCTTAGCTAAGAGAGATTTGATGTTCTATTGCAAAGTACAATAAGAAGTTTTGAACATAAATTGACTTTTCAGCATATTTGAGTTTTCATTCACTTATTTCTCTTAGTACACGGTGATGATCAATAAGAGTATTTAAAAGGACATCAGATTTCTTCCCACAACCCCATATTGTCTTTTTTTAGTTTTCACTCTCATACATCCAGCCTAAACTTAAAATGGTTCTTTGAACCCTCCTGTAAACCTCTGATGAGTTAATCTTGAAAACAAGCTTGATCAGGTTGTCACTTCCCCACTGCTGTTGAAATTTCTCAGCTGGGGCTGTCTTCTGGCTTGAGTTAAGCAGGCCAGACTCAAATCTCAGGGCTGAAACTTCTCACCCAATCCTGGGCGCTTTTCCCAGTGACAGCTTTCTATAAACCACACGCTTCAGCTCCTAAACAGACACTTTTATTTATGCTCTTTTTTGCCCTCATAGGGTGTTTTTTTCCTATACCTCACCCTTCCCCCTTCTGACTGCGTATCTGAACCTGTCTTCATTTTTCAGGTGTCAGTTTAAATTCCCTTTTTGAACCAAGTTGTCTGATAAAGTGCAGCTACCCACTGAATCCTCATGCTTCTTACTGTTTTTATGACTCTTTGGATAATTCTTCAAGTATTGACCTCACTCACACTGCTGCTCTCTCAAATAATTGTGTTTATGTTTTACTACTTGGATGTTCATATTATCCTTGTATTATTGCTACCCTCTCAAACGAGATAATAAAGATCCTTGATGGAGGCAGAAAGAAATGAAAGAAAAATACTTGTCTGGAACGTACTCTGTGTTGTAGTGTCTCAGGTATTCTACATGCTTCATTTCATTTAACCTTTAAGTGACTGTATGAGAGTGCAGCAGTTTTCTCAATGTGACATTGCCATCGGTTGGTTGAGAATTTGTTAGCTGAGACTGATTCCAAAGCTGGTGCTCTTTCTCCCACCCTGCACTGCCTCATGTTGTTAAATTTTGCTTTCTCTATAGCATAGTGCATTCAGTGTTAGGAGCTCAGCAAACATTTAACTGGGTCAGGCTGTTTGTTTCCTTTCTGTTTACTTTTTATTGGTACTTCTGCCAGAGTATAAGCACGGAAGGTAAAATCTAAGTCAATAAATTCTGCTTTTTATTCTTTGTACAAAAGATTTAAAAGTGAAGGAAAATGAAACTTTTGGAGGTTTGAGTCCTGCCATGGGTTATTTTGTACTTCCTACCAGATGTTCTTAAAGATGACCCAAAATCTTATTCTTCAGAGTTTCATTTTTTAAAATGTTTTCAAAAGCACTATGTGAAGCAACAGAAAATATAGGCCATGAATTATCTTCAGCCAAAAATGTTTTCTCTTTTGTGACTTTGCTTAAAATAAAGAAACCATATGGTTCCTCTTTTCAGTTAGCTGAAAAATGCATTAGACAAGGAAAGAGCCCCAGTGAGAACATAATTACTTATAAGCCCAGTTTAGTTTGTAAGATCAGTTTTGATAGGTTCATAACTTCTTATGTCAGTAGGAAGTTGGTAGAACCTTCAGTGAGTGAGATTTTCACCTGTCACTTAAGGGTTACTGTAACATTGAAACTAACCTCATCTCTGATCTACCACTCTGTCGCACTTGCCAGTTAGCGACTTACCTGTCTGGAATCTGCCCCATCAGAATACGAGAATCTGTGTTAGAGTCCTAACACAGCAGTTCAGAAAAGTGTGGGAAAGGAGGAATGAGACTTAATAGAAGAATAAATCAGGGCTACAATTGTGAGAAAATGGGTTTTTGTCTGGAAGTTGTGAGGCTAGTGTTAGTACCAGTGTGGAAAATTATTTAACATACAGAATACGTAAGTGGTATGTGCCTGAAGTACAATATTGCTTCCCCAGGGAAAGAAGGTAATAAGAAAGAAGAATATGGGACAGAGTAATAAAAAGGACAAGGAAATTTAGAATAACATGAAATGAAAAAATAATGCAAAGACATAAAAAATAGTTCAGAAAAGAAAAGTAAACATTATAGGAAGCCATAACTTTATGTAAAAGGGGAAGATCAATGAGTAGAGAAGGTATTGAAAAGATGAAAAGTTAATAAACAGGTAAAGGAAGTAGAGTTACATATTTAGTAAGAAATTAGAAGATTAAAGTGGGTAAAATGAAGAATTTGGGGGAAAAGATTGAAGTGGATCAAAGAGGCAGCCACCGAATGCTGCTTCCTGTTACTGGCCTGTGTTTGTGGGTGCAGAGAACCTGCACAGAGGGCTCTGTTTCCAAGATGGAGGACTCAGATGAAGCACCCTCTCAGCCTCGCATGTCTTTCATTTCATGCTTTCCAGCCTGCTGTAAGGGTACTTAAAATCCTCTCTCTCTCTCTTTCTCTCTCTCTCTCTCTTTTCCTGGCTATAATTCAATATATGCCTACTAGTTAATGTGACAAACCTCTGCACATTATATGTAGAATTTGTCTAGAAATCTCTTAGTCTGCTGTTCAGGCAAATCTGAAGTGTACTAACTTTGCTATGGCAGTATTTCCTCATTATTTGAGGCTGGCACTTTGAGGTTTAAATCTGTGATGCTGATCCTTTGCTTTTCCAAAAAAAATTTTTTTAAATAAAAATATAAACTGTTTTGAACTAAGCATTTTAAAGGCAATTGAAGTGAAGCATGAGTGTCCATGTTTTAGACATGTTCTCACAATGATGCTGACAGGTGGGCATTTGGTACAATGTAAGTTACACCACTACCTGAGATGCCCACATTCCATGTTAGAGTGCCTGGGTTTGAGGCCCCGCCCTGCTGTCCATTCCAGCTTCATGCTGATGTAAACCTTGAGAGACAGCAGCTGATGGCTCAGGTAGTTGGATCCTCGGCTTTAGCCTAGCCAAGCCTTAATTGGTGTAGACATTTGGGAATAGTGACCCACTGGATTGGAGATCTCTGTTTCTAACTCTATCTCTCCACCTCTCAAGCATGCAAAATAAATAAATATAATGTTCAAAATAAAACTGGTGCTACTAAGTTGGCTATGCTAAGAAATATAGGGAATCAGAAATTTAGAGACAAAAAGGCAAGTGCAGATAGCACATCAAAAAAATCTGTGTTCTACTTCTTTGCTATAATAAAAAATTTAGTAGTGATATTATCTCCAACTAATGATGTTCGACCTCAAAACAGAAAACTGTAGTTGTATGTCATGAAGAAGAACCAAAATTGACTTTGAACTATAATAGGAAATATTTGATGGCTGTCTGTTAGTAGTACCTTCATCAAATGCTCAGATGAACTTGGTGGTGGTGTTCCCTTCTTACAGTTAAGGAAACTGAAACAGAGAAGTAGGGTAACTTGGCAAAATGTCACAGCTCTTGAGTTGTGGCACTAATATAGAAAACATGCCAGTCTTGTGTCCTTGACTTCTATTATCTATCACTAAATAGGCTGCACAGCCTTTCATAACAAAATTATGACATAGAAAAGCTTTGTGAAGAAAGGAGATGTCAACTGGGAACAGAAATGGAAGTAACTTTAGGAGGTGGGCTTACATAAAAGGTAGGAAAAGAAATATCACAGAACCCACTGTAGTCCTGTGCGTCTATGAAAACAGTTGTGGGAGTTTTAAATGGTTAGCCTATAAGACACCATACTTAATAAGTTTACTTAAAATTTAGTGGTGATTTTAAAAGATTGAACATTGAAAGGCATCAGATTTATGTTTAGCATATTCAAACTAAGTAGAATTATGTGGAAATTACTTCAAAAATAGCTGATTTTCTCTTATAGAAGTCCATTCTAGATTTCTTCCAAGTATAATAGAAGTTTTTAAATTTAAGATTTTTATCTCTTTTTTTTTTTGATAAGACATGTCTATATATTTTAAAAGGGTTAGACCCAAGCTTAAAGTTTAGTAGTGCCTATGTTTGAAGTATTGAAATAGGAAATTACTCACTGCAAATTCATTCCTTGAAATTACAGGTCTACACAAATTGTTGGCAGTTTTTATTTAGAGGATCAATTTACTTTATAATTGCCTCCTTAAAGAATACGCATCTTTTAAGCATGTTAACAATTTTCTATTCTGTGAATTTTTTTTTTCATTTATCTTACACTATGTACTGAAAGCTCAGGTACTAATATGTGAAATAGCCATGGGCATTTGGGCAAGCAGTTAAATCACCAGTTGAGAACCTCTGCATCCCATATTGGAGTACAAGAGTTGGTTACCTGACACTAACTCCTGACTCCAGCTTGCTGCTAATGCTCACCCGGGAAGCAGCGTAAGTAAATGGGTTCCGACCTCCATGTGGGAGACCTAGGTTGAGTTTCCAGCTCCTGGCGCCTGGTCTGTGTCTCTGCTGTGCATACTTAAGGAGTGAACTAGTAAATGGGAATGTCCTATCTTTCTCTCTGTTCATCTGCCTCTCAAGTAATTTTTTAATTTATTTTAAAGATTAATTTATTTATAAGACAGTTGGAGACAGAGAGATCATCCATCTGCTGTTTCACTCCCCAAATGGCTGCAACAGCCAGAACTGTGCTGATCTGAAGCTAGCAGCCAGGAGCTTCTTCCGAGTCTCCCATGTGAATGCAGGGACCCAAGGACTTGGGCCATCTACTACTGCTTTCCCAGGCACATTAGCAAGCAGCTGGATCTGAAGTGGAGCAACCAGGACTCCAACTGGTGTCCATTTGGCGTGCCGACATTGCAGACAGTGCCTTTACCCACCATACCACAGCACCAGCCCCTCAAATAAATTTTTTTAAAAATATGTCTGATCTGATGGGAGTCCTGGAAGAAGTTCCTGGTCCTGGCTTCTGGCTTCAGCCTGGCACAGCCTCTGCCATTGCAACCATCTGGGGAGTGAACTAGCAAATGGAAGATCGATCTCTCTCTCTCTCTCTCTTTCTAAATCTGACTTTCAAATAAGGAAGTAAATAAATTTTTAAAAAGTGTGATGCAAACATGTGGATGATGTGAATATATGTCTACATATAACATTTTTGTCTTAGTTTTAAAAATGTTACAACGTTTTTACATTGTCATTAATTAAATAAAAAATTTTGTTTGTATATAAAAATAAACTCTGTATAATAATCATTGGGTACTACATTTAATTTCTATTTAAATTGAGTGGAGGTAAAGGTGACCATTATAAGAAAGATGACTATGGAAAGTAAAAGTAACTAAAAAATGAAAATAATTTGTCTATGCATTATATTACATATAGGAAAATTTTATCAAAAACAAATTAGAATTTTTAATAATTAGTGTTTTGAAGGCTACCTATGGAATCTAGTTTCATTTCTTACTCTTTATCTACCATGGCTATAGTTTATTTGTTTTCATTACAAAACTAAGGTCAACAAACAATATGATTGAATAAACTTAAAAGGGCATATACTATTCAGACTTCGGTAAAATCTTTCTTAAGGCAAGCTCAACACTGAATATGTTTTTATCCCATACAGCAAAATGAGAAAAATCTGTCATAGACATCTATAGGCTTCCAGTGTTGAAGTTAAGTTTAGGGCACTAACGACTTTTTAGTTTTTAAAACAAATTTTATATAAAGCAAAGATCAAACCAAATTACCTGTCTGAAATTTGTCTTACCTGAGCTGTTAACTTCTTTTGCAGGATCTAAATTCTTGTTCTAGCTGGACATTTTGGTGATTTGGCTAAGAAAGCAAAAGGGGTGGTTCAATTCAGATTAAAAATGGCCCTCCAGCAAACTAAACTCTTTTCTGTAGAAAAAGAGGAAGTTTATCAATAGCTGATTCCGGAAGTGCAAAAAGCCACAAAATGACTAAGAAAAGTACTGCTTTAACAGAACTTACTTTGAAACACAACTTGGAGCTGTATGATTTGAGTGCTGTTAATTAATGTTTATAAATAATGTACTTTTGTATTTTAAATATTCAGAATGAAGCCCTAAAGAGAAAATTATGTGGTCTAGGGAAAAGCTGCTAGTTGGGCTATTACCCATAGTGAGATTTCTTTTTGCAAGAAGTGAACGCTGGGTTCTGTTTGCTTCTGTGACTTTAGGCAAGTCACTGTGTTTAAGTCACCATTTCCTCTTTTGAAGGAATATTTCCCTTATTGGGTTATTATGAGGATTAGATAACATAACAAGTATAAATTTGTACACATAGTAGGTAACTGATAATGTTAGTGTTATTTCCTCATTCGTGATACAGGGTTTAAAATATAATGAAATTATTTTGACCAAATACTTAATGATATTTTTAGTTCAAGTCTATAATTTGGTTACTCCCAAAGTATGTCTTAGTGGAAAATTAAATAAATTTGAAATCATTTTTAAAATAAGTTACCTAAGCAAAGTGTACTTACTGAAAAGAGTGAGTCAGTCTGATAAAAATTTCTTTGGACAAATTGCCTTCTAGCCTCTTTCTTCATCAAAAAATCAAGGTCATAATTCGTTATTTAAAAGTTTATTATGGGCTGGCGCCGCGGCTCAATAGGAATCCTCCGCCTGCGGCGCCAGCACACCGGGTTCTAGTCCCGGTCGGGGCGCTGGATTCTGTCCCGGTTGCCCCTCTTCCAGGCCAGCTCTCTGCTGTGGCCCAGGAGTACAGTGGAGGATGGTCCAAGTGCTTGGGCCCCGTACCCCATGGGAGACCAGGAGAAGCACCTGGCTCCTGGCTTCAGATCAGTGCGGTGCGCTGGCAGTGGTGGCCATTGGAGGGTGAACCAACAGCAAAGGAAGACCTTTCTCTCTGTCTCTCTCTCTCACTGTCCACTCTGCCTGTCAAAAATAAAAAAGTAAAAAAAAAAAAAAAAGTTTATTATGGGGTGAAATAAATGCCACATGCCTTACCTGATGTCTCTGATAGTAGATAGTAAGTCTTAGATAGTAACTGTTAACCTGTGTGCTGCTGTCACCTGGTCATTGCAAAGGAGCACAGAGTGCACGGTGCTGATAACCGGGTACAAAAAGAATGGCAGAGGAGAATCAAAATGCTATATGTAGGGTTTTTTTTTTTTTTTAAGATTTTTTTTTTAATTTATTTGAAAAGCAGAGTTAGAGAGACAATGAGAGATCTTCATCTGCTGGTTCAGTCCCTGGATGGCCACAACACCTGGGGCTGGGCCAGGCAGAAGCCAGGTACCAGGAGCTTCATCTGGGTCTCCTATGTGGGGGAAGGGGCCCAGGTACTTGAGCCATCTTCCACTGCTTTTCCTAGGCCATTAGCAGGGAGCTGGATTGGAAGTGGAGCAGCTGGGACATGAACTGGAGCTCACATGGGATTCTGGCGTCTCAGGCTGTGACTTTACCTGCTACACCACAGTGGCAGCCCCTGCATGAAGCTTTTGATTTGTTATTTTTAAATCCCTGATTTAAGCTTGTGAACCATAATACTCAGGGGTAGAAAATATGTTTTTCTATAGTTTTTCAGTTTGAAACTCAAAACTATCTTACCTAGCATCTTTAAATATCTATCAGGTGTGGAGAGGAACCACTGCTGTTTGTGCATGAACTGCCATGGGATGGTATCATTCTGAGATCTTGTGTTGAATAACAGGAAAGTGAGTGATGACTTTGAAATATTCCTGAAGTACATAATAGCTTTCTGTTGGTAAGAAAATGTTTGACCAGTGTATTGAATAGTTGGTTTCTTATTTTTACAAAGATATTATTTTATTTGCATTTTTTAACAAGTAATTCTGACTCTTGATTAAAGGGGGGCTTTGTGTTATCACTGTGTTTTGGTACACAGTCTAAAAACCTGAATTTGTACAAGTAAGCTCTACCTAGTTTCATTTCTTATCTGGGCCATTTCATCTTTTAAACAATAACCTGATGTGACATGATTGGCATGAATAATCTCATGCTTTCTTTTTTCTTTACCTGCAGTAATATGATTATGATTTGTTGCCTTAGGAATCAGTTATTTTTCAAATTGGTAATAAATTGGCAGTAAAATTGATGCTTTTTTTTCCCCCTCTCATTTTAAGATATAACCTAGGTGTATGGGGCCATGGAACTTGTAAGAAGTGGATTTTATGACCAAACTCAGTATCACCTAGGGAGTTGCATAAAAATCGCCACTACCTGGAGCCTTACCCTGTTCCAGTTGAATCAGATGGAGGATGTGGGAATTGGGCATTGATGTTTTTGAAAACTCTTTAGGTGATTCTGCCATGCAGCTGTGATGAGAATCACTGGTATTGGGGGAAAAATATGTAAAATATTTTCTCTCTAAAATTTTTAAGTAAACATTTTATTTCTACTTTTCTACCAAAAAAAATAGATGCACACAAACACACACACACATTCTTATCTGTTAGCTCACTCCCCCAGATGCCCACAATGGCCCAGGGTGGCCCAGAGGCTGGGCCTTCCTGTGCCAGTAGAAGTCTGGAGCCATGAGTTGGGAACTCAATCCAAGTCAGAACCCATTTAGTTGAACCATCACCAATACCTGGAGCTCACCCTATTCCAGTTGAAGTTGAGTTAGATGGAGGATGTAGGAATATATGAAATCTATCCCCCGCCTTTTAAATAAACGTGTCTTTTCCCATTTTCCCTCTTAAATTTTTTTTTTTAATGAAGGACAGAGATGGCAGGAGCTTCTGTCTGCTGTTTATTTCCCAGGCTCTCACAATGGGGAGTGCGGGAATTAAGCATAGCATGAAGCTGGCGTCAGAAGCCGGGAAAGGAACTCAGGTACTCTGATATGAGACAGGAGCATCTTAACCAACATCTTAACTGGCAAGCTAAACACCCGACTCTAGAAGCTTTTCTTAAATAGTACCCAAGACAAATGTCAGTAAGAGATGAGACTTCTTAAAATGCAGCCTGATCTTTAATTTATATGTCCTCATTTGGTTTCAGTAGATATTTGAAAAGCCTCTCAAACCAGTCTTGTAATATGTTTAATTGAGGAGGAAAGTCCTGACTCAAATATAAGTCATTTTTTTTTTTTACTTGAAACTAATTTCCTTAAAGGTTAAAGAATTGCTTGAAGTGCCCTCTTTCCAGACTTGAACAAAAATGCACACAAACATACATACACACACTCTTTTCCTTTGCTCTTGTCAAACTGGATAGGAAGCATTAAAATTGGTCATTTATTAGGCTACTTGGCATCTTGAATTCCAGTTATTAATCAATCTTTGGATACTTTTTGTGATGCACCAGTAAGCACTATTTATAGCGAAGATGAAGGTTCCTCTTGCACAGGCAGCTATACTTGACATTTACTTTTAATAACTTTCTGCTGGGGCTGTAAGGCTCGTCTGTTTTAGTGGTGCTCCATGTCTTACTGGTCTTTACAGCGTGTCCTCTGAGATAAAGTGAATGCAAATGTACATGGTCACAATTTTATTTTGAATTTTAATTTATTATACAAAATTTAAATATTAATATTTAATATTTGTAATGAAAACCACTTCTGTGTAC